CTTGCATAAAGGTAGAAAAGTACTGGAAAGAATGCTCAATATCTGGGGCTGAGGAGATGGCTCAGTAGAATAAGCACTTGCTTGGCAGGCACAAGGACCTGAGTTCAATCCCCGGTTCTGCAAAAAAAAAAAAAAAAAAGAATGCTCAATATCACTTAAGTCTTAGGAGAAATGCAAATTAAAACCACAATGAGGCTGAAGACAGCTCAGTGGCATAAGTGCCTGCCTGGAAAGTGCAAGGTCCTGAGTTTGATTCTCCAGTACCACAAAAAAAAAAGAATAAGAAGAAAAAAACAATGAATTCTACTATATTACTTATATACACTGGCTGACATTAAAAACTGAACAGAAGTCAGGTGCATACCTGTAATCCCAGCACTCTGGAAATCTGAGGTAGGAGGACTGAAAAGTTTGAGCATAGCCTGGGGAACTTAGCAATTCTCTGTATCAAAATTTTAAAACTTAAAAGTGAGGTGAGGCAGAAGCTTGGCACCAAGGTTTTAGGCTCAATCCCCAGTACAACAAACAAGAGCAAATAAAACTACTGAATTAATGAGCACTGGCAAAGATGTTCAGGAACTATAATTTTTTTTTTTTTTGGTGGAACCGGGGATTGAACTCAGGCCTTTGAGCTTGCCAGGGAAGTGCTTATTCTACTGAGCCATCTCCCCGGCCCCAAGGAACTAGAATTTTTATACAACACTTGTAGGAACACAGTTTAGCAAACACTTTGGAAAACACTTTGGTTATCCCTTTAAAGTTAAATATAGGGCTGGTGAGATGGCTCAGTGGTCTAAAGCACCTACTTAGAACAAGCTTAGCAAATCACAGGGACCACGGTTCAATCCCCCAGCACCACATGCTGGCCAGCCCCGCCCCCTGGTGGTCTGAGCTAACCCCCCCACACACACACGCAAATAAAATAAATAAATTTAAAAAAAAAGTTATATATTACATCATACCACTGTTGTAATCTTCCCAGAATTTTTGTTTGTTTGTTTGTGGTACCAGGGATTGAACTCAGGACCTTGTGCTTGCCAGGCAGACACTTATGCTGCTGAGCTAGCTCTCAGGCCCCACTGTTGCAATCTTACTCATCCAGTAGAAATAAAAGCCTTTATTCTCAGTGTACTAAAATGATCTAGTACTCTCAGATACAGTGGAGTTAAAAGTACAGGACACAGAATATGTAATAGAACACTTCCTGGGCTAGGGAGATGGCTCAGTGGAATAAGCACTTCCCTGGCAAGCGCAAGGGCCTGAATTCAATCCCCGGTTCCACAAAAAAAAAAAAAAAAAAAAAAAAACCCACAAAGAACACTTCATTTTGTGTAAGAAAAAAATAGGGGGAAAGGGAGTAATGTATAATCATATTGCTTGCATGTATATAAAGAAACTCCAGAGAAAGACATCAGAAACTAACAATTGTGGTTATCTAAGCAGACCAGGAATGGTCAGAAAGAAATTACTTTATTATTCATATATTTATGTTTATGTATACATTTTTACTTTTTTTTTTTTTTTGAGATAGTACCTTACTGCATTGCCTACACTGGTCTTTGAAATCATAAACTCAGGCAAGCAAGATAGCTCAGTGGAGGAGCCGGGGAGATGGCTCAGTAGAACAAACGCTTGCCTGGCAAGCACGAGGACCTGAGTTCAACCTGATATCACAAAAAAAGTAAAGAGAAAAACTTGGCAGAATTTTAAATGTGACCCCTTAACACTAATAAATGCTTATTGAGACTATATATATATAAAAGAAGTTTTTAAAACTTCTTTTTTTTGTGGTACTGGGGATTGGACTCAGGACCTTGCACTTGCTTATTATACTGAGCTCTCTCCGGCCCCTAAAACCTTAATTTTAATTTTATGATACAGGGTTTTGCTAGCAGTTTGGACTCAAAGTGATCCTCCTGTCTCAGCCTCCCCAGTGCTAGGATTACAGGCATGCACCACTACCCCCAGTTCCCTGGCCAGCACAGCATGCACTGGGGATTGAACTCAGGACCTTGTGCTTCATAGGCAGGTGCTTATGCCGCTGAGCCATCTCCTTAGTCCTGTAATCCCAGTTTTGCTGTTCTTTTTTTGTTTTGTTTTGTTTTGTTTTAGGTCTGGGTATTGAGCCCAGAGCCTTTGCTCTCAACTTCATCCCTAGACATTTATTTTGAAACAGGGTCTTGCTAATTTCCTAAATTGCCCCAGTTGGGTTCAACTTTATGTTCCTTTCGCCTCAGCTTCCCAGAGTGCTGGGATTACAAGTATAGACCACCAGGCCCGGTTTCTATTATGTCATTTATTTATTTATTTTTTTGTGGAACCGGGGATTAAACTCAGGCCCTTACGCTTGCCAGGGAAGCGCTTATTCCACTGAGCCATCTCCCTGGCGCTATTTATTTTTTTTTTCTAATTTTATGTATTTGGTACAGGGTCTCACTATGCAGCGCAGCTCAGACTTGTAACGATCCGCCTGTCTCAGCCTCCCCAGTGCTGGAATTACTGGGATGAGCCATCATACCTAGTCTAGTTGGCCACCTGGGGCACACCTAGTATAGGGCAGGCATGGCATGTGGTACCAGGGATGGAAGTTGGATCCTTGCACTTGCCTAGGCAGGCGCTTAGACCACTGAGACATCTCCGTGAACCCCTATTATGACTTTTAAAAATACACATAGGGCTGGAGAGATGGCTCAGTGGTCTAAAGCACCTACTTGGAACAAGCTTGGCAAAGCACAGGGACCACGGTTCAATCCCCCAGCTCCACATGCCAGCCAGCCCCGCCCCCTGGTGGGCTGAGCTGGCCACACACACGGCCACACACACACACACACACACACAAATAAAAAATTAAAAAAAAATACACATATACATGTATCTAAATACATTAAAAAAAAATAAGTGGAGGCAACATCCTAAAATCTAAGCAATAATGCTTTCTTCTATGAAGACAACAATATGCAATGTATTATTATAACTGTCTTACTAACCTGTTTTGAAATTGTCTCACTGCTGTTTCTCAATAAAATACAAAAAAAATAATGCTTTCTTTTTTTTTTTTTTTTGGTGGAGTGGGGGATTGAACTCAGGCCCTTGGGCTTGAAGGCAAGCACTTATTTAACTGAGCTATTTCCCCAGCCCAATAATGCTTTCTTGACTTGGGGCATATAGGGCTCTTGGTTTCATCATTATGCTTTTTTTCCTTTCTTTTTTTTTTTTTTGCAGAACCGGGGATTGGACTCAGGCCCTTCTGCTTGCCAGGGAAGCGCTTATTCCACTGAGCCATCTCCCCGGCTCCTCATTATGCTTTTTTCTGAGGCAAAGTCTCTTGGTAGTTAACGGGCTGCCTTGAACTCACTAAATGATTCAGGTTGGCTTCAAACTTATGGCCATCGTTCTGCCTCAACCTTCCAAGTGCTGGCAATACAAGTGTGCACCATCATACCTTGCTCCAAGATAATTATTATTAATTTATGTATTTGGTATAGGGTCTTGATATGCGTTTGGACTTGTAGTGATCCTTCTGTCTCAGCCTCCCCAGCACTGGGATTATAAGTGTGTCCGACCATGCCTGGTTTTAGTGGCCAGCACAGGGAACCCAGGGTTCTGCATGAGGTACCAGGGATCGAACCCAGGTCCTTGTGCTTGCCCGACAGGTTCTTAGACCACTGAGCTATCTCCCTTGCTCCAGAAATTATTTTTATAATAATAAATAAAATAATAATAATCATAATCATAATAATAAAGAATATCTTGGGCTACCCACTCAGGACTTCTTCTATTTTTATTTTTCTTGCATTACTGGGGATCAACCTCGGGACTGTGTACTTGCCAGGCAGGCACTTATGCTGCTATCTCTCCAGGTCTTTTCTCTCTTTTAGTCAAAAGCTTTCTCTCAATAAATCCTTCCTACTCCTTACCTCCATTGTTCCTACAATTCATTCTTCAATTTTAGAGAACAAGGATGCAGCATATCAGACAACTAGTAAACTGCAAGTTAAAATATTCCCTTTGTGTTATTTGGAGGTGCTCTCTTATTTGTCCCTGTATCACTATGAGTTTATTCTCCTTCAACTCACTATATTTGTTACTAAATTTCAGAAAAGAAAAAATACAGGTCCTCTTTTACCTTAAAATCTGCTCTTGACAAACAGCAATTCTCTTCATGAATTTGTAAAACATCTGATCTCCACTTTTAACCTTGGTCTTCTCATACTTTTCACCACCATCACTTGAAAAACTAAAAAGAAAAGCAAAACTCACCTGTGAGTGTGAACATCCAGATAACTACAGTATTTAGAAGAGAAAACAGGACCAGCGAAATAGCTCATTGGACTAAGTGCCTGGGCAAACATAGGGACTGAGGTTCAATCCCCGGCACCATAGGCTGCACTGGCCTCGGCGACTGGGCGTGGTGGTTCACGCCTGTAATGGGAGACTAAGGCTGGAAGATCACCACAGGAAGATCTCAAGTTGAGGCCAGACTGGGCTACATAGCGAGTTCAAGGTCAGCCTGAACTACACAGAGACCCTGTCTCAAAAAAAAAAAAAGAAAAAGAAAAAAGGAAAAAAAAAGAGCCACCTATAGCAAGACCCTGTCTAAACAAAAACAACAAAGTCGTTATGTCCACTGACCCTTTCCATCAGATTATTTTCAAACACTAACATGTATTCAGATAGTCCCCATTTTTTCTTTTATTTTTCTGCGGAACGGGGATTGAACTCAGGCCCTTGAGCTTGCCAGGGAAGCGCTTATTCCACTGAGCCATCTCCCTGGCCCCAAAAGTGGCATTTTTAACTTCCTGTTTATCTTGGTTCTTTTTCTTGAGGGCATTTACGCACACTGTCAGGTATTTTGAAGTTCCCTGAGGCTGGTTAACAAGGAGTGTGTCTCCTTTTCTTAGTCAATAGAAATGAAACAAAAAGATCTTAGCACAGAAATTCTACCAGAAAATTTCCCTAGGCAAAACCAAAGGGTTGGGGCTGGGGAGATGGCTCAGTAGAATAAGTGCTTGCCTGGCAAGCACAAGGGCTGGATTTCAATCCCAGTTCTGGGAAAAAAAAGAAAAAAAAAAAAAGGTTCCCACTCATCACTGAGGCTCAGCACACACTCTCTTACCTCTCAGCAAGCAACTGCTCCATATCAACTCCTTCTCTTTGTTGGTAGTCCTTCAGAAGGGTGTGGGCATGATCCAGACTAGCAAAGTCTCTGTAGTCCTCCTCATTTACTACACAGATGTAGTAGGGCAGGAACTGCACCACCACAGGAGAAGCAGTCACGCCTTTCCCTAGAGGTGGAGGAAGAGCAGCAGACAGGAAGGTGTCCTGCAGATGGAGGCCTTGGAGCTGGGCAGTACAGTCTACATCTTTGGCACTGTTAGAGTCATTTCCAAAACCCAAAGTAAGGTGTGGTGGAGGCACCTCCTCACTGTCACTTCCCCAGTCATCTGCACCTTCACACCAATTCTCTGTGGCAAGGTCATTTTCCTGGTTCTGGAAATGTAACAACAACAAAAAAAGGTTTATTAACTACTTAAATAGGCTGAGGGCCAGCCAAATAGTGGATTAAAGCGCCTGCAAGAAGGTACAGAGGCTGGTTCTTTTTCTTGAGGGCATTTACGCACACTGTCAGGTATTTTAGGGTACCATTGACCCTGGTGCCTGCTATGCCAGCCTGGCCGCCAGGAGGCGCTAAGAAGGCAACTGAAACTGGGTGTGGTGGTGAACCTGTAATCCCAGCTCTTAGGAGGCTATAAACAGGCAGATCACTATGAGTCTGACCTAGTAGTAAGAGCCTGAACACCCTGTAGACCCTTCCCTAAAATACCCAAATAAATAAATAGGCTGAAGGAGGCTATTCCGAGAATGACCTCCAGAATACCTCAGAAGCAACCCATCTACCAGGCTATATCTTGTGAGTCAGGGAGCTTCAGAGTAGTCTTATGAACTGGAAGCCCCTGCAGTCAGCAGGACTGTAGATTCTTTTTTTTTTTAATTAATTAATTAATTTATTTACATTTATTTATTGTGTGTGTGTGTGTGTGTGTGTGGCCAGCTCAGCACACCTGGGGGCGGGGCTGGCTGGCATGTGGTGCTGAGGGATCGAACCGCGGTCCCTGTGCTTTGCTAAGCTTGTTCCTTGCTAAGCTTGTTCCAAGTAAGTGCTTTAGACCACTGAGCCATCTCTCCAGCCCTTTTTAACTGTACTTTTTTTTTTTTGGTGGAACCAGGGATTGAACTCAGGCCGTTGTGCTTGCCAGGGAAGCGCTTATTCCCCTGAGCCATCTCCCTGGCCCCAGGACTGTAGATTCTTGAACCTTGCTCTACTGTCTACTGTTATATTTCTCAGAAGAAAAGAAATACTACAGGCATGCGAACCCTGAATCTTTGTTATTCCTTGTTTTGCTATCATTATGCTGAACACAGACACTCAGTATATAGATACAAAAACCTTGACAGCCCATGAGAGGCTGAATTTTGTTGTGCAGTTACCAACCTCCCTAACTTTTCTATTCAATAACCTTGGATTTCAGGGCTGGGGGCCTGCCTGGCAAGCACAAGGTCCTGAGTTTAATTCTCAGTTTAAAAAAACACCTGGATTTCAACTTACTAAATGTGTTTATTATAAAGGTATATATGAGCCAGGCATGGTGGCACACGCCTGTAATCCCCAAACTTGGGGGAGGCTAAGGCAGGAGGATGGGCAGGAGTTGAAGGACAGCCTGGGCTATGTGGTGAGTTCAAAGCTAGCCTTAGCTATATGTGTGTGGGGGGGTCTCTGTCTCAAAAACGAGGATTTTTTTTTTTTTCACTCCTCCATGCCTTCAGGGCAGGACTGGTTTAGCTTGAGGGGATCAAACCACAGCATCCTGAGCCTGACTGCTTTGTTTCAGCAGGCACTTAAACACCTAAGCTAAGGGACAGGCCCCCTCTGTTTCAAAAACTTAAATACATAAAAAGGTACGTATGTTCATATCACATTATTCTAGAATAAACACATATATCAATTTTACACACCCATACATGTACACACCCATGCATTGTCTTAGCAGAAAATAAAATCAGTAAACTATGTCTTACAACCTTGAGTGTAAATTATTACTATTATGATGTATTTTAGTACAGGGTCTACAGAGTCTCACTACACAGATCAGACTCATAGTGATCCTCCTGTTTTCAGCCTCCCAAGTGCTGCAACTGCAGGCACATGCACCACCAAGCTCAGTCTCAACTGCAGTCTCAGTGTACTCTGGGGGCAGGGCCAGCACTGGGAGGGAATGCTGGTCTCTTCGTCTGCCTAAGTAGGCACTTTAATCGGGTGAGCTATCTGGCTGGCCATTATTATTATTATTATTATTATTATCATTATTACTATTATTAATCATTTATTTATTTATTTAGTACAGCTTGTCCCAGCTCACTCTTAGTGATCCTCCTTTCTCAGCCTCCAAGTACCAGGGATCAAACCCAGGTTCTTGAGCTTGGCAAACAGGCGCTTAGACCACGGAGCTATCTCTTCAGTGTGAATTATAAAAACTCAGAAAACCTTCTAAGAGTCGAGTGTGGTGGCCCATGCCTCTAATCCCAGTGCTTGGAAGGCTGAGACAGGAAAATCGATCGCTGCAAGTTCGAGACCAGCCTGAGTTACAAAGTGAGCCCAAGGCCAGCCTGAACTGCATAGGAAGACCATCTCAAAAAGATAAAACAAACAACCCCCCACCAACTTTCATGGTTTCAGACAGGAAAGCCCACTGCCATTTTACTTCAAAAACCAAGGCTTACAGCGAGGCGTGGTGGCGCATGTCTGTGATCTCGGCATTCTGGAAACTGAGGTAAAAGGACAGTAGGCAGAGTTCGAGGCCAGTCTCCGCTACATATTGAATTCATAGTAAGTGAATCGGAACTACATATAGTGAAACTCTCTCAAAAAGCCAAACAAAATCCCGCGGCTTAAAAGTTTGTCTTAAACGACATGCTGGAAAACATCCTCTCCCACACTGCAGCAAAACACAACACGCCCATCAAACCGCCTTACCTGAGCGTCCGGTGCCGTCTTCTCTCGCACCTCCAGACACTGGGAGCGGAACACCCTCCAGCTTCAGGGTACAGACAACGTCGGTGAGCGTTCCACCCCGCGGAGGCCAGCCCCGCCCGCCTGCCCGGCCCCGCCCGCCTGCCCGGCCCCGCCCACTCGCAGCGCCACCAGGGACCCCACCCCCCACCCCCAGCTCTCCGCCTACCTGCGCGCCCCGCGGTCGCCGCACTTAGGGCCGGCGCAGGCGAACACGTGCAGCTGCCGGTGAAAGGGGGAGCCTTCTAGCGGGCAGTACACCTGCACGACCAGGGCGAGCGGCTGCCTGCAGCGTCCACACTCGGGGCTCGGCGCAGCTACACCAGGGAGGACGTCCTGAGCAGGGGGGACAACACGCTTCGGACCCCGACTCTCCACCAGGACCCCGCCCACTTCCTCACGGCGCGCCCTTCGCCAACACCCGCCGCCGACCCCGACCCTGGCGCCCGCCCTCACCGGAACGCCGCCCAACTTGCTAGCAGTCCAAGAGCTCGGCCCTGTGGGGTTGCCGTGCACTGCCACGTCTCGAAGCCCTAAGAGAACTGGCTTCCGAAAGGCCGCCATGACAAACGGGCGCGCACGTGAAACGCAGAACTACGGCAGCCGAGCAGTGGCGCCTGTCTGCGCACGCGCGCGCTACGTCACCGAGCTGGCCCCGCCCCCGATTGGGATCCGGGAGGGATGCTAAAGGCAAAGATTTACTGTAAAACGCTTGGACTTGGTTTCCCGAAGGTACGGACTGCTGATGTCGCGGTCTTGAGGTCCGAGATCCCTCAGGCATTATGTGCCTTCAAATGCCCTGCGAAAGAAAACAGCATGTCCTGTGAAAGCCTTGACAAAACCCAAATATATTAGGCGAGGTAATGGTATCTGCCAATAACAAAAGAAAAACAAGACATTGGAGAGATAAACCTGGTGTGGTGGCGCACGCCTGTAATTCCAGTACTCAGGAGGCTGAGGTAAGAGAGTTCAAGCTCCGCCTGGGTTACCTAGTGAGTTCAAGGTCGACCTGAGCTACATAGCAGAGACCCTGTCCCAAAACAAAACGAAGTTGAGAGATATACACCGAAATGCATACAGACAAAAATAAAATGAAATAAATACA